TATTTTATAAATCTGATAGAGTAGTTTCCCTTGCCCATTGAAAACGTATGGCGCCTTTGTAAAGTTCCCCCTCCATTTGTTCATCTTGTCCTGTAGTAATTGTAATCGTTTATTTATTCGGCACTCTGTCAAACTCACCCTACACGTCAACTACTCGACTATTTCATTTCAGGAGGGGGGTAATCGCCGCACTCAACCGCCAGCCCCCCTAACCCCTCCACACCCCCCTCCACCCCGCGGTATAGCACCACGTAATAATCGCCCCCGTGGACGAAGGCGTGATTGGGGAGCGGGCTGGGGGTGGGCGGGGGGAAGAAGCGATCCCTTTCGTAACGCTCCGGCAGCCAGTAATTTAGAGCACTTGTCGCCAGTTGTTTCCCCTTTAGTAATGACGCTTCAACGCGGGACGCAACTCCGTGAAGAACGGGTAAAAAAAAATAAAAAGATGATTAATCTGGGCTGGAGTTGGAGAAAGTGATGCTCATGGCTGATGCACGTCACTAAAGGCGTTACACGTTACAGGAGGGGGTGGGGTGGTTAAAAAGGGGGGGGGGGGGGCTACCCTATATTACGAGGTTTCACACCTCATTAGGGGTCGTAAACATCACTAGCATAGTTTCTTCCAGTCATCTGCCCCCCCCCCCCCCCCCAGAAGAAATTCACCCCCCCCCCCCTCATGGAACGAAATGGAATTTGTATAGAAAATATATACCTTTAACAGTAACACTGATCACTAAGGGTCCTACTCATCACTAATGAGTTGGTACGTGACTGAACGCCTTTCAGCCCATGCGTGCCCATGCGTACCGAGTTCCAATTTGATTGATTAGAGACCTTCATATCCAAGCCCTAACCCTAAACATTGACCATAACCATGGCCTTAACCCTGGGTTGTATTAGCGGCGTCTGCCTCTGTGTTCATATGGGCACGGCTATTATATAAGGTCTCAACTCAGTTGTCTTCCTAGCTGGCAAGGGACAAAATGTTATAAATATAAAATAACGTTAACATAACTCAAAGAACCATTTTCTAGGTCGCGTCAGTGTGTTTCCTTTATTTCCGTCCAGCAGGGATTCGAACCCGTCTTGGTGAAATACTAGAGCATATAAACAAGACAACATAGCACCAAAGGCTAGCAAGCGGGGTAGGCGGGGCGTGTTTTATTTTATCTCAACAGTGTGGGGTAGGTTCTTTTAGTGCGATCATCTTATATTATAATACACTCGTGGTAGAGTGTGGTTCAGTAGGTAGCCTGCATTTGTTAAGCCATAAAGGTAAAATAGAACTGAATCGGTAGATTTCAAGTGTCGAGCTCAGGTCTTTGGACGAAGTTTATGAAATAGATTTGAGTCCGCTCAGCTCTAATAAGTAATTGGCATAATATTAGGAGGAGAATTTAAAGATGGCCAACCATTTTTTTTCATGTACCTGGCTGGTTCAAGGAAGCTGTTCAACTTTATTTTACCTACTCTAACAATACATGAATTTATTTTACAATAGCTAAACACAACTTTTACAATAGTTAAACACAAATTGTTAAACACCACTTTTACAATAGTTAAACACAACTCAAATAAAGTATGCCTTGTGCTGCTTGTCTTGTAGAACTTTCGCTTATCTACTAGCCACCAATGCAAACATTACATGCATAATTTGATGACATAGACGCCTGCTGGTGCATAAATTAGCCGCAAGTCACGCGTACATATTTTTTCTTCTTATCTCGTCGTCTACACGGCACGTGGCGTTAGAGACTTAGGTAAACAAACAAACAAACAAACAAACAAACAGAATAAAAAACGTGAACAAACACACACATAAACAGAAAAATAAAATGAAACAACTTGCAAACGTGTCCGGGTGTTGGGGGAGGTGGGGGTGGTGTAGATCTGATCAGCAGTAGAGTGCTCATGGCATGCGCTATCTCTTGCTAACACCAGTCAACACTCACACACACACACACACACACGTATATATGTATGTATATATGTATGTATATAGGTTTAAAAAAAAACACACTCACACGGCCACTCACACGCTGACCTATCGCACGTGAAGCGAAACGTGCCGCCCGCACATCTAACACATCCAGGGCTGAAACTCACGTGATGTCCGTGTTTTATCACACCCAGTGTCTCCTCCTACCCAGCGTCACGTGATATCCGTGCCTTATCACGCCCACTATCGCCCCCCTACACAAACCGGACAAATAAACATTTACCTAGATAAACCCACAAAGACCTGGGGCCGACACCCCCCTCAAATAAAAAAAAAACCTCCCCCGTTATAAACGGTCCTGGTTTATCGCTTGACCCGGTCATCGATAGCTTTGATTGTTGATTGCGTGTGCTCCTGTCATGGTGGCTCGCGTCTGCGAGCTAGACCTGGCTTCCGTATGATATTACCTGAGTTATGAAGTACACAATTTTGTTGTGACTATGGTATTTCTTAAAGCGGGGGTAGAGCGCTCGACTGCTAACCCGAAAGTCTCGAGTTCGGATCTCGGTCTGGAATTAAGTCTTCAGGACGTCCCGGAGTCCACCCAGCTCTAATGGGTACCCAACTTCATAAGCCGAGGTCAAGAAACATCTGCCCCGTGGATAGTAAGTTCTGAAAACGGAACTTGAATCAATGACAGACTTTCTATCATCTTGTGCACACGTCAAAGATTTTATTGTCATATTGTAGCTTGTAGCAAACAATTTTTGTCGTACAAGTGTTATTCCACACGTCAGTTTGATCCTTGCCGAGGATTTAGTAAGAGAATAATCTCATTCTGTCTAGTTCATACAACTTACGCTGTGAAGTCAAGTCCACATATGTTAAGCCGTTGTTTCGTGGTAAAATCAAGCAAAAACTTTTTAAAATTGCTTAGGTGTCACCCTTTACGTGGTCTAGCTGGGTAGGTCAGAATCCAAGCACCTCTCATTGCGACGCCCGTCTAACCCCATGAGGTTATCATAACTAACTCCTAAAACGTGACGAAAACAGTAACAGTTTTAAAATAATACATTTGTAGTTCATTAAATAAAACTTACATTGTAGTCAGTTTATAATTTGTTAACTAAAATTTCACAAATGATTAAAAACAAATCTTCAAGGAACATGGAAATTACTCGCAGACGAGAGGCACCATGACGAATCTTTAAAAACAAGTTTCCACTTCATCATTCACTTTCTTGAATGTTTGTTTTGACTTGTACAACTGCTTTTTTTTGGCTAAATAATCAACAATAATTATTTTTTGTGTAAATGATGGTTGTAATTGTAAACACCTTTAATTAATTGATGTAGACTTAATCGTATTTTTTTAATTTTTACCCGTTAAAACGGCGGTTGGAAGGAAAGTTTTAAATATATTGAATTACATAACGCTTGAATAATATAAAAAAAAACTAATTTAGAGTTCAAATAAAAATGGATAGAACCTTTGTAGAATGTTTTTACTTCCGCTATAGAAATGTGTTAGTTTCTTGTACGGGAAAAATTAGAATTGTTTTCCCTCAAACATGATTTAAAAATCAAGTTAAAAAAACATAAATTTATGTCTTGATGAGGCACTTGAGTCTAGCCGACATGTTTATCCAATGTCAAGACACAGGTAGGGCGTTGTCCGATTGTTGTTCTTAATGAATAATCAATGGCCCACGCTAAACGCTCTAATTAAAACGTTTACTGCATAAATGTTTGTAATTCGTGCTTTATTCTATAATCCTAGTTTATGATAGCTGGGGTTGATTTGAGCGTTGGGTGGATTGTAGGGGGATGATTTAATAAGGGGGGGGGGAGTTTGTTGAACTTATGGGGGTGGGCCTTCTTGAGTGGGCTGACTTGAGTGGGCTGATGTGAAGGGGTGGGCTGACTTAAGTGGGCTGATCTGATGGGTCGGGCTGACTTTAGAGCTCACTAGCTGGTATCTAAAAGATTTTCAGCTGAGGTACTTCAGCAGTACCCCCGTGAGTGCCGCCAGACCGCTGGGTACTAGCATGTTGTGCTCTGATTCTGTAACTGAACGACACATCTTACGGTCAATGAAGCGACACACGGACTCTACGGTATGTAAACTACGGACTACGCGTTTCGTTACGGTAACGTCACACCAGCCGTTACAATACGATCCGTTACCAGCAGTGTATGTGTGTGTAGGGGGGGGGGGGTAGTCTGCTGACCGACGTCTCTTATGTTTGGCACGTACCCATGGTAGGACACGGACAATAGCTAATCAAACGCAACACTCCGTCGCTCTAGAAAACTTTTCAGTACATTTTGAGACCAACACTTTTGTTAGCACTATTGTAGCTAGAGAAAATATAAGCTTACTTTATTTAGTTTTTAAATTTAAAATCTTTCTTTTATGTAAGTATTTTTCTTGTTGTTGTTGATGAAGGGTTTTTTAAACTGCGAAAATCAAAGAAAAGAATAGGTAACCATATTAAGTTGTCGCCCAAATTTAATTCCTCATCATTCGTTAACCCGAGCCACTGTTGACTCGAAAGTCTCGAGTTTGGATCCTGGGCTTAAGTCGGTAGGACGTCCCTGAGTCCACCCAGCTCTAATGGGTACCTGACTAACGTAAGGGAAAGTAATGACAGTTGCGCAAACAGCTGACCACATTACCCCTACATAAGATAAAAATCACAGAAACAACTGAACTCTACTTCATCAGCACTATTGACCTTAAGGTCTTAAAGGGTAACTTCCATTAACCTCCCACCTACTGACCTGTGACCACTCCGACCTACCCAATGTGTAACACACAACCCCCCCCCCCCCACCCCCTAAAATACTTACGCATCAATTGTTTATCAAGCTCACTCGCCCATGAGCAAAACTCAGATAAAAAAACAACTTCTCAATTTTAAAGCCCTGCTTCTCATTATATTATTTTATTGTTAATATTTGAAGAAACAATTATTAAATATTTGAACACACAAAAACAAACAAGCGCAGATTTCTTTTGTATTCGACTTTTATTAATTTAATGTTTTTTTCGTTTTAGATACAATAAAGCCTGGTGTTTTATAAAGTCAATTCAACCAATTAGCACTCAGTTGATCAAAACCTACACGCCAACGCTCGTGTTACGGCCGACTACACACCTAGCATCAACAAACTGAACGTGTTCACACATGTAACGCCGTGTGTGTAGGTACACATGCCAGAAAGGGAAAAAAATAAAAACCATGGCGAATTTACCTGTGGTGTTGATAATAATTTCACATGTGTCTTGAAGACCGTGGCTACAACCACTTAACCATGTTTCTCTACAAGAATTAAGGATACACGATACATTCATTCAACTCTTCTGGAACATTCGACAAGATTTAACAGTAAACAGTGATACAATGTTGGAACACGGAGGGTCCAGGTCCTGTCTATATGGGATTGGAACCTGCACCATCCTGCTGGTGATGATGATGGTAGTGGTGACCTCAGGGATGATGAGTGGTGACCATGTCTACCCCTACATCACCGTGGCGAAATGCCGGATCACCTGTGTCAAAAAGGTAAGTCAGTTTTTTCTCTCGTTTTATTTCAGCTGCCGGTGGTCGATTTACAACATTTTGATAAGATGGTGAAATAGTTTTCCGAAAAATGTCAGAAATGGACATCTTGTAAAATTATAACTTTCAGTTTAATAAAACTTTTGAAAGAGCTCGCTGTCGCGGCTTCCTTTGTCTTTGACAAAAAAGAAAAAGATTATGATGATGAAAGTATTTTTTAATAACTTAATACCCCATTGTTTGCGGTAGTCCATATTTGAACACCGGTATTAGTACTATTATTTTGTACTAGATACGACACACCTTTACCAGGTACTAGATATGACACAGCTTTACCAGGTACTAGATATGACACACCTTGACCAGGTACTAGATACGACACACCTTGACCAGGTACTAGATATGACACACCTTGACCAGGTACTAGATATGACACCCCTTGACCAGGTACTAGATATGACACACCTTGACCAGGTACTAGATATGACACACCTTGACCAGGTACTAGATATGACACACCTTGACCAGGTACTAGATATGACACACCTTGACCAGGTACTAGATATGACACACCTTGACCAGGTACTAGATATGACACACCTTGACCAGGTACTAGATACGACACACCTTGACCAGGTACTAGATATGACACACCTTGACCAGGTACTAGATATGACACACCTTGACCAGGTACTAGATATGACACACCTTGACCAGGTACTAGATATGACAAACCTTGACCAGGTACTAGATATGACACACCTTGACCAGGTACTAGATATGACACACCTTGACCAGGTACTAGATATGAAACACCTTGAACAGGTACTAGATATGAAACACCTTGAACAGGTACTAGATATGACACACCTTGACCAGGTACTAGATATGACACACCTTGACCAGGTACTAGATATGACACACCTTGACCAGGTACTAGATATGACACACCTTGACCAGGTACTAGATATGACACACCTTGACCAGGTACTAGATATGACACACCTTGACCAGGTATTAGATATGACACACCTTGACCAGGTATTAGATACGACACACCGTGACCAGGTACTAGATATGACGCATACCATGACTACACGATAACTAATTAGGGTGGAGCTTGTAATGACGGTGGCCACGTGATGCGTCACACCCCACTGACGTTAGTCATGCAGAACAAAAATCTGACACTGCATCACACCTGGTTGTATAGTCTTAGAAACGCCTGCTGCGTGGATGCTAATTTGACTTTTGCAAGCCGTAGCATCGACTCTACACAGACCTATTACCTTAGTATTTTAACAAATTCATTTGAATACAATTAGTCTCGCGTGCACCCGCCCTGCAGTCTCGCGCCGCGAGATGTTGTTGGTAATATAAGAGGTCAGCATGAGGTCAACAGGTTGTAATGTCAAGGTCATAACAAAAGCGATAGCGTAACAAAATTACGTTGCTTAGGTCGAACCTATGACTGGCGTATAAGTCCTGCCCTGGTGTATAGGTCCTGCCCTGGTGTATAGGTCCTGCCCTGGTGTATAGGCCCTGCCCTGGTGTATAGGTCCTGCCCTGGTGTATAGGTCCTGCCCTGGCGTTAATTGTCCTGCCCTGGCGTATATGTCCTGCCCTGGCGTATATGTCCTGCCCTGGTGTATATGTCCTGCCCTGGTGTATATGTCCTGCCCTGGTGTATAGGTCCTGCCCTGGTGTATAGGTCCTGCCCTGATGTATAAGTCCTGCCCTGGCGTATATGTCCTGCCCTGGCGTATAAGTCCTGCCCTGGCGTATAGGTCCTGCCCTGGCGTATAGGTCCTGCCCTGGCGTATAGGTCCTGCCCTGGCGTATAGGTCCTGCCCTGGCGTATAAGTCCTGCCCTGGCGTATAAGTCCTGCCCTGGCGTATAAGTCCTGCCCTGGCGTATAAGTCCTGCCCTGGCGTATAAGTCCTGCCCTGGCGTATAAGTCCTGCCCTGGCGTATAAGTCCTGCCCTGGCGTATAAGTCCTGCCCTGGCGTATAAGTCCTGCCCTGGCGTATAAGTCCTGCCCTGGCGTATAAGTCCTGCCCTGGCGTATAAGTCCTGCCCTGGCGTATAAGTCCTGCCCTGGCGTATATGTCCTGCCCTTGTGTATAAGCCCTGTTTTACCCCATGAAATGCATTAAAACAAAAATATTGAGCTAAACCTTACTGTTGAAGTTTTCCATTAAGCTGAAGCAAGTTTTAAACACTGACGTTCATTCATTGCTGTTCTCTTGAATCATAAGCTAGCTCCAACCTTAACCCTTATCTGAATACTCAGAGTTATAATATCGTTAAACTATTTCTGTTTAACCGATTATATATGTATGCCGACTAAAACTACTTAAGTCAAACCTTAATATTGTGGCTTCCTCGTTTCCTTATTTTTTTCAAATCTCGTCTTAATCTCGCTTATTTTGCCTTCAAAAATGTGTTATAATCTATCAAATTAAATGTGATTTAAAAAATGTAACCACGTGCGTTACTTTGAAAAATATTTACATAACACAGAAATGATCCACATTTTAATTTTGTTGCTACATCTGTTTCCTTCGCATAACCCAGGCCAATCAAATGCTTAGAAAAAAACCCACGTGACTGATATTATATTTCAGCATACAACCTTCACCGTGTCCGAAAAATTAAAGACACCGACTCCTCAAAACAAATCGTTTTACCAAAAGTTATGTTCAGTCACAAGTTAAAAAAAAACATTTGAGCTACTTACAACCCACTTATAACCCTCGCATGTTAAGGAGATTACCACAAGACATCACGAGGCATTTTTTTTCTTCTTTCTTTTACACGCTCAGTTCTTCATTGGGAGTTATTGCCCTTCTTCCGATGTCGGAGGAAGATGATTTCCGCACAGCGGAGTTCCACAGTGCAGTGCTCAGACTAGATATCAACGAACTTATCCTCATTTCTCATTTGATGTTGGGAGATTATAGGGCCTGCCCGATGCTAATGTTATCTTATCATCTTCTTTGTAGTCGGCCTTATCTTATTTTTTAACGTTTTTTTTTTCCGTTTCTGTTCTGAACTTTGGTTAAACAAATTTGTTAAGCCACAGACGTGGGTGTCTATTTTAGAATATTCTAGATGTCCTTCAAATAATAAATAATCATTTTTAAAAAAAATTCCAATTCTCCTTATAGTGCCTAGAGCGTTGCTATTTTGTCGTTTTAATTAAATATCTAATTACTTATAGAGAGTTATAATAAATGGAAATCAAGTGATTTTTTTCTGATACTGCTGCAGATTAGGCATCTAAAGAGTCAAGAGTCTAGAGATCTTAAACCGACTCTCTGAACGTAATATATATATATATATATATATATATATATATATATATATATATATATATATATATATATATATATATATATATATATATATATATATTGATGTCGGTAGATGTATCAACACTACTTACAAACAGTAAATAAAAGATAGCTACCGAGGAACGCCCACTATGAACTACATAAAGTCATGGCATCGGTTACCGTCTCCTGACCTACAAAACATGACCTGACTTTGTTTACACCATTTAAATCTTGCGCATCCTGGCTTGGGGGTTTAAACCCCAGTCGAACCCCAGTTAAACCCCGGTTAGCGACGACTTAATGGTTGGAGGATAAACTCGAGACACGGCTATCTAGAAGGTTCTGTTGGCTGGGGGTGTTGGGAGAGACGCTAGGAAAATGTGGACTGGATGATAAAAATACAATTTTACAATTTGTATACGGTTTAAGATGTAACGTAACACATACATAAACGTTTTCAATTTGGCTTCAGGACTTGAAAATATATATAAAACTGTTTCCTTTATATAGAAATTATCAATGAATGATTGCTCATTCAGTTTTCCAATTTGAAGTGTAGGGTTGAAAAGTTTGATCCAAAATAATCTAGCTTTGTCTGTGTGGTATAATTTCTAGTTGAGTGTGATTCTCAGGCGTACATGGAACATGTATTCCCAAGGTTAATGTATGCGTCTATTTAGTTGGGAGTGTAGATTTTGACGTCCTTCGTTTTGTATGTACATATTCATTCTCTAAAGAGTAGACTTTTACGTCCTTCGTTTTGTATGTACATATTCATTCTCTAAAGAGTAGACTTTTACGTCCTTCGTTTTGTATGTACATATTCATTCTCTAAAACAAATATCACCCCCTCCCCAATAAAACAAAGCAACGAAGACCCCCAGACTTCTAGAATTCACGATCAAACGCTTAGCCTGTTGGGCAACAGGAGCAGTGGTTATCACATGATGTTATCTATACTGTAATGTTATCGTCGGCCGTTATCCTTACACTCATGTTATCCCTTGCCTGTTATCGGTATTGTAATGAAGATACAACAGCCACACAGAGGCCACGGGACGTTAATGAGTCTCGCGTTACCCTACTGCACCTACATTTGATAGGCCAGTCAAGGCGGGACATTTCATGTGGGCGAGATGGTCAGTTTCCGGTGGGTGCTTCAAGACTTGCTGCAGTATCATTGGGGGGGGGGGGGCGGGTACTTTGTAATATTATTGGGAGGTGGGTGGTAATTTGTAATATCGTGGGGGGGGGGGGGGGGTTATTTGTAATATCGTTGGGGGGTGGGGGGTTATTTGTAATATCATTGGGGGGGATTTGTAATATCATTGGGAGGTGAGTGGTTAATAATAGATCTAGATGGTAAAAATAATCGACTTCCGTGGTATTTTTTTAGCTATAACCTGCATTTTGTGTGTTGTTGGAGATAATAAGGTCCAGTTTGTAGGTATTTTAACTGAATGAGACTGATATTTTTTTTAGAGTATTTGAACTGAAATCATAAATTATACTTTTATACTTTAGGAAAAAGGATAATTTGGATGAATCAAAAGGTAGGGAACTTTTTAAGTTTACTTAAAAGTCGGTGTAAAATGGTCGGTGTAAAATGGTCGGTGTAAAACGGTCGGTGTAAAACGGTCGGTGTAAAATGGTCGGTGTAAAA